AGCCAAACTTGTACATAAGGGCCACTAAGGGAAAGCAAGTGGTCGTTATGGACAGGTGGCTGTTCTACACAGAAATGTGGCCATATTGCATTTTTATTACGAAAAGTATTTGTATTTAATGTAATATGATCACGATCGACAAAGGTGTTAGCTGACGCATCAAGCTTGTGACAGTCAGCCAAATATACATAAATAGATAACCTAGCACGAGGTTTATCACAGCAGGCAGTATATCTGCTTATTTAGACGTTAGCCCTGCTCGCTTTACATGAGCACCATTTCCGAGTAGCAATTTACCAAAAATCCTATTGATTTAGATAATTTTATGCCACTAGTTAAACAGAATTTAGAAATTTGTTTATCTACGCTCAAAATTCGAATTAAATCGAATATTGTAAAGTAAGGTGGCTTTGCATAAAACGCCGAAGGTTATACCCGAATTGAACAATCCGCCTAGAGTGATATGAATATGTCTATCTAAGTCCATCAACACTGTGATAGAGCTATTTTCCAAACACGCTGCTTTCGAGCGAAATGGCACAAAGTCGACAATTTGTCGCGCCCACGGGAAAAACGTGTATAAACTGAGATAACTTGACAGCCATAGCAATAATATTTGCGAACGTGCTTATCTCGCTCAGACGGATAGTTAAAGCTCAAAGGTACCACTATCCCGTACGGACTGCAAAATTGATCCCACATAAAACTAGTCTGGGCGAGGCGCGCGTCAAATTTTTGCAGTGTGTACACGCTACCCGCACCAGTTTGGCCCCGCAAACGAAGGAGCGCCAAGAAGCGGGCTAACTTGGGGCGTTCCAAGTTAGCCCGCTTTCAAAGTGTGTGTACGCAATGTGGGACCAGGCGCACGTCAGATTTCGCAATACGCATGCGCATAGCCATATTTAGGTCACATAAAAGTACAGTAGCTGTCTATTGAGTGACGTAACAAGCTAAACTGCGCATGCATAGTCAATCCGTGCCAATCTGGCACGCTTCAGACTTTTGTATCTGTACGCTACGATTTGACGCGCGCCAGGCCCGGACTAGTGTGGGATCAAATTTTGCAGTCTGTACGGGGTGTGAAAAGGCCCGCTGACGTTAAAATGCACTAACTCGTACAATAACCAAAGTCACTACAAATCATCGCGAATGTAAAAATATGTTTATACCGTTACATATTGACGTCCCGCAGTTATTAGCAAACACGGCCAGGAGTACATAGCAGGGGACGATTGCCCTAAACAGGTATCTACCGAGCAAATAAGCCATGCTAGTTGTTATGCTTCTCTGAGCAAGTGACTTAATCTTAATTTGCTCGGAGATGGACGAGGCTTAAATAAGAGAAGCTCTAGATCTGCTGCTCTAGCTACAGACTTATCTTAGACAAGGCATAGCATGTGTTCAGCCTCCCCCACAAGGGTTATGGCCACTGTGTCACACAGGCATTAAGGCAAGTACATATAAGATCAATTGTTATATAATATCAGAAGTAGATAATCGGGAACTATTATACTATTATACTCTATTATCTACTTCTGATAATATCAATGCACACACATATGCACCAGTACGTTGATATGATGATAGTTATTTAAACGCATATGGAAGAAACGCACAACTGACCTTTAAGGAATCTACTAGCGAAATAGAATTTTGGTCAGCAAACTATAAAAGTGACTCACACTGATCTATTTCGTATCTATGAATGACTCTCAAGTGCAACGCATGCGATACAGAGACATTGTGGCAAAAGTGCATGCTGCGATTTGTTGCAGTCACATATTTCACTTTTTTGTAAAGGGTAAATAACGATTTACCAACAAAATATATATAAATACATATTTTCTCACATAAAAAGTATATACACCATCGAATACTGCAAGACATGGCTCAGCAACGCTAGGAATTACACTAATGCAGAGTTGCTAGTGCGGCGATGATATATGGTGACAATATAATCATCTCAGCACTAGCAACCTTGTAGTAGCACTGTTAGAACAACATTGTGTAAGTATACCAAGTTTGCTCGCGATAGGTCAATTAGGGGCCGAGTTATAGAGCGGAAGAGAAATATGACCAAGGTCAAGGCCAAGGTCAAATAAAAGTCGCAGTGACTTGGTTTTGGTACGCGACACACCCTCTCACCAAGATGTGTAAGTATAGCAAGTTTGGTTGCGCTAGGTCAATTAAGGGTCGAGTTATAGAGCGGAAAGAAAGTGTCTGAGGCAGCGGCGGCGGCTGGACAGACATGAAAGAAACCATAGTATCCCTGCCGACTTCGTTGCGGGGGATACAATTACACTATACACAGCTCAGGTAGCACAAGTAGAATAATGTATAATTACACTATAGATAGCTCAAACAGCACAGATAGAATAATGTATAGCTATACTATATATATCTCAGGCAGCACAGCTAGTATAATGTATAGTTATAGTATAATACTATAGATTAGGTGAGTCAGGCAACACAGGTAGAATAACGTGTAATTATACTATAGACACAGCAGCACTAGGATAATGTATAATTACAACAAAGAAAACAAATCAATCACACAGCACAGCTAGAAAATGGCACGTAATTGCATACTCAGTGACTCACACAGCATCGGCAAACTATCGCATTTACTAGATTACTGACATCGTGGTCCTTAAGGGGGGCTTATGTCGGGCTTGCGAGCCGACTCGACTGGAAGCAACTGAGCGACTGCAGTGCTTAGGTCGGTTGACTGCGACGCGACTGCCTGCGACTGGCCGCCACTAGTTGCTCAGAATAGAACAGTGGGCAACTGGACGCAACTAGTCGCTCGAAATCTAGTTGCTTCCAGTCGAGTCAGCTCGCAAGCCCGACATAAGCCCCCCATTACTTTACAACATCTGGTTATGAAAATTAACCAATGCTCAACCCAAAGCACATGCATTTCGAGCAACAGCGAGACTGAATTAACATGATACCATCAGCCCATTTGTAGATGAGAAAACCACAGCAATTATGACATGTAATCTCTTGCGAAATTCGACCTAATTTTCTTACCAAAATCACGGGCAAGACGAGCAGCTTAAAAAGGCTTTAAACAATCTAGCCATCTACAGTTTACAAGGCTTATTATAATATGAACGGATTGCCTCACACCTATACTGTACTCACTACAGATATGTTCAGTGGCCTCCGCTATGACTACACTTCCCATTCTCTCCCAGGGTGGCTGTCATCCGATATCACCTACTGTAGTAGAACTAATGGACGCATCATCTGACCCCCACCCCATGGTTACACTCACTAGGACCTTCCCCCACCATGATTACACTCACTGACTTTCCCATCCCCATGATTACACTCAGTCACACCCCTCCCATCACAGTTACACTCACTGACTTTCCCATCCCCATGGTTACACTCTGGGGGCACTCGCCTCGGAACTGGGTAGGAGGGTGCCTCGGGGACAATGAAAACCTGACCCTGTCGCAAACCACTTTGTGCCCTAAAATACACCCTGTCCCAACACACTGCACTAAAAAGTATACCCTGTTGCAAGATTGCACACACGTAAGTGCCAAAGTGCTCAGAAACTGGTACGAAAATGTCTATCACAGACCAATCATGGACCCGCCTATGCTAGCTTACCGATATTGGCGAGCCGTCCTGTGATACGGCCGGTAGACTGTGCTACCATACTGTGTTACAATAGACTGTGCTACACTGTGATACAATAGACTGTGCTACACTGTGTTACAGAAGGATGTGCTACACTGTGATATAATAGATTGTGCTACATTGTGTTACAGCAGACCATGGTACACTGTGCTACACATGTGTTACAGTAGACTGTGCTACACTGTGTTACAGTAGACTGTGCTATACTGTGTTACAGAAAGATGTGCTACACTGTTATATAATAGATTGTGCTACATTGTGTTACAGCAGACCATGGTACACTGTGCTGCACTGTGTTACAGTAGACTGTGCTACACTGCGTTACAGTGGGCTGTACTGCAGTAGACTGTGCTACACAGTGATACAATAGACTGTGCTACACTGTGTTACAGAAGGATGTGCTACACTGTGATATAATAGATCGTGCTACATTTTGTTACAGCAGACCATGGTACACTGTGCTACAGTAGACTGTGCTACACATGTGTTACAGTAGACCGTGCTACACTGTATTACAATAGACTGTGCTATACTGTATTACAGTAGACCATGCTACACTGTGTTACAGTAAACCATGCTACACTGTGTTACAGTAGATTGTGCTATACTGTGTAATAGCAGACCGTGCTACACTGTGTTATGTTATAGTAGATCATGCTACACATGTGTTACAGTAGTCTGTGCTACACATGTGTTATAGTAGACTGTGCTACACATGTGTTTCAGTAGACTGTGTTACACATGTGTTTCAGTAGACTGTGCTACACTGTGTTACAGTAGACTGTGCTATACTGTGTTACAGTAGACTGTGCTACACTGTGTTATAGTAGTGTGCTACACTGTGATACAGTAGACTGTGCTACACTGTTACAGTAGACTGTGCTACACTGTGTTACAGTAGAGTGTGCTATACTGTGTTATAGTAGTGTGCTACACTGTGATACAGTAGACTGTGCTACACTGTGATACAGTAGACTGTGCTACACTGTGATACAGTAGACTGTGCTATACTGTGTTACAGTAGACTGTGCTATACTGTGTTACAGTAGACTGTACTACACTGTGTTACAGAAAGATGTGCTACACTGTGATACAGTAGTCTGAGCTATACTGTATTATACTGTATCACTCACACTGTATAGACTGTGCTACACTGTGTTACAGTAGACTGTGCTACACATGTGTTACAATAGACTGTGCTACACTGTGTTACAGTAGCAGGGGCGTAGCCAGCCTTTCCAAAAGGGGGATTCCTTCCAAGAGGGGGGATTCCAAACCTACTATATACTAATAAAACTTCGTTAAAATTTTCGTTTCATGCTTTTATATACATACTGTATCAGATATGTGCTATTTTGATACAAACCAGTGGGGATTCCAGAATGCCTGGAATCACCCCTGGCTACGCCCCTGAGTAGACTGTGCTACACATGTGTTACAGTAGACTGTGCTACAGTAGACTGTGTTACAGTATACTGTGCTACACTGTGTTATGTCGACTGCTGCACTGTGTTACAGTAGACTGTGCTACTGTAGACTGTGTTACAGTAGACTGTGTTACAGTAGAGTGTGCTACACTGTGATGTTACGTCGCCTGCTACGCGGTGCTAGACTTCCTTGTGTTCGCTGGACGGGTGATGCTGGAACTCATAGTCTAGATGCACAAACGCTCGCTCAACCTCTGGCAGACTCTCCAGCCGTTGCTGCAGTGATTCGCCCACGTCGTGTGCCTCACGCAGCAGCATGTCCTCCGGTAAGACAATGTCCACCTCCACGATGAAGTTGTTACCAAAGTGGAATGCTCTGACTGTGTCTGTGGGAGGAAGCATGGCTGCTATGTCCACATACACAAAACATGAATAGTTATGACTATCGTGGGTGTAAAATGATATAACTGTAGTACAACTCTTCATTTCAAAAGTTATGACTTGTTCTGCTATGATTGGACTTTTTATATGAGTTATTTTAGAATTATGAAGACCAATTACCATGAAGACCAATGAATTACCAACCCTAACCCTAACTATATGAAGTATAATATCATGATATATATGATACAATGTTATTACACATAACAAGATATGATCGATTTCATAACCATTTATAACATAACGTTTCGGACAGAGGGCCCCCTGACTACTAGCTAACAGCATGAAGTAATGTTCGGCTACGAGGGCGTAACTTACCGATGTAGAGAATCCTAGCATCATGGTGGAAGCTAAGCCATGTCAGCTGCTGCATGAATACCGGTCGTGCCGTGTGTCCGGTAAGCAGACGAATTTGTTCTGTAACGTACGGAAAGACATCGGCTGAAACTATCACTCTTCACTCTATTGCTACCAAAAATACCAAGGGTAATGTCAAGTGTCTTTTTATTGAGGTGTTTTCACTATGTAACTTCCACTCAATGGGAGCATCAAGTTGTTGGCGAACTCTCTTGCCTAAGAACCGATCGCTGAAATCTGGAGACATATATCCAACCACGACAAATATCATATTGCAGAACAACATATTTTTAGAAATGGTTCGATTTCCTGAATAACTATGGATAAGATTATTAATCTTAAGATAATAAGTGATTATTATTATTCTACTCCTCTCATTATTATATATCATTATTACTCGTGATATTATAGACAGCAAGGATGACAAATGATTTTCAGTCAGAAACTTACTAGCACCAGTCTTCCACCAACTAATCAGAATGTACAGACTTATCAAGATGGCTCCGATCGGGTCAGCATACACCCACCACTTTGATCCTGCAGAAATAGCACACGGTTTTCAGTTCTCTGAACATTACGACATATGAAGGTCTGCAATAGGTTGTGTGCAATGCACGCTAGTGTTCGCTTACCACATGGTGACTCGATGGTCACTAAAGGACAACTACAGTTGACTGACATGTGTGAGGTGACGACTAACTTTCATGTAGTTCTCATATTTGGTGATAGCCTAGCAGATATACTGTTCTTACTAATCATAGTAACAAGTCTTTTGTTATAACAGCATGATATTTGCTGCACAGCTTCCAAATTTCTAATTTCAATCATCAAAGGTACAACACTTCTAAATATGTCACTTGTCAGCTGGACTATAAGAACAGCCACACAACAGAGATGCTCATCAGGGCCACACACATACAGACAGCTATGCCATCTGTGTATCTTACCGATATAGCATTGTCTAAGACAGAATAGACGTGATTAATTTCAAAGAGATTTCGAGACAAACAATAATAACAGTGTATTTTCCAGGACTATCCAGACCAGGAAAGCCAACCAGCACATTTAAAAAAAAACAGAACTTCCCAGGTTTTCCACGATCCGTATGAACCCTGGCTTCTCATGAGTTACCTGATGAGAACCATGCTACACAACTGCAATCAGCTACTTACCGATAAAGCCACCGGCGAGGGCAAATATGTTAGAGAGTACATCATTGCGGTGATCCTGACACAGTGCCTGCACGCTCGGGTTCTTGTACCGACGACAGAACAGGTAAAGGCACATCTTTGTACCTGCGTAAAACAGACCCATGTTTGGCATTTAACCGCCATATTTTGTAGCATGAAATGCCAAATAAATGCTAAACAATGTCAGTTAATTAATTAACGAGTAATTTAATCTTTAGAAAAAAAACCAGTTATTTGCCCCTATGGTGTTTAAATAACCCTAAGTAATAATAAGCTAGCGTTAAGCTACCAGACTGGTACCAAGCATGCATGCAAGCATGGCACACACCAAATGAGCTTCAAATAAATAATAATTGAACAACAAGAAGAAAACAATGCTTTCAATCTAATGTTACCAGGTCACAGAAATATTTAATTGGACTAGGTGTTGCAGAAAATACAGCAACAGCCACAGCATTTGTAACAATATCAGTGGTAGCAGCAGCAACAGTATTATTAGTACCAATATCGCCTTACATATAGTTGCAAGGATGAGACCAACAGTGGTCCATCCAACATCGGGATTCATGTTTTTGTTGACCATGCATTCGATAGATTCAATGATGACCTGTAGAGAGGCGATGGACATTATCACAGAGAGGATCACTACGGCAACTGGCTCCAACCTGGTCCGTCCTAGATAAACACAAAAGCATTAACAAGGGTGCAAAATTAATGGGAGTCCGGAGTCAAATACTCCCCGATTTACTGTCAGACTCCCTGATTTGACATATGCAGGAGTCCGTGACTCCCTGAAAATTCTGCCATACCAACTAGTTTGTTCCGGAGCACGGCCTCGCGGAATTATCGTATTTTTTCAGCTAATGTCCAACGAAAATTTGGCAGACGTGCAACCGTATGAATCTTAAAAATAAGCATATATGCGTTATTGTTAATATATTTAATTTTGAATCTCAGACTGCAGACTCCTTCATTTTGCTGAGGACTCCCTCTTTTTGAGGGTTGGACTCCCGTGTTCAAAAGTTAATTTCTACCCCTGATTAACGGTTACCAAAATTCACTCTTTACACACGCAGTCAAACATGTTCAGGGTTCTCCTCGGGAATTTTAGTAAGCTTGTTGTTCATGGATGGATGGGAAGGGCCCGGGAGAGGGTTGTACCTGCTGTAGATTGTGGTGACCACAGGTGGTGAGAAATAGTGTTTGTGCTAGGTGGCAACACTGCTCAGTGGGCAATACTGATTTATATTTCATGGCATATAATATTCTCTGCATATACCAACTACAACTTATAAAATGTGGTATTCTTTGCAGTAATATATATGAAACACGCATGCGTGCGCACGCACGCACTCACGCACGCACGCATGCACACACACACACATGCCATTGATAGATAAATCATGGATTTACTGATTGATTGATTGCAGCTCACCCTGTGGGTACAGGTAAATACTTCTGTTCTTCATTGCTCGCGTTGTCCAGAAGATGATGAAGCCGGAAACAAGGTCAACACAGCTGTCTACCAGGCTGGAGATGATTGACAGAGACCCGGATAGACCCACGGCGACGGCCTTAGCAGCCAACAACAACTAGAAGCAATCACAGTACCGTATTAACATTTGCAGTAATGTTGTCAGGGGTCTCACCCAAGCATTTCAGCAGGCATGTTGGGCACTTGGGCAAGTCATCGCCAATTATTGCTAATTGGAGTCATGGACACGGGTAAACTTGATCAGTTAGGAGATGTATACATCAAGCTGTGAAAACACAGAGTGACTCTATTAGTATTGTCAAACGTAAACAAAACTCGTAAGGCATATCGATTAGGCAATTAAGGTATGTTGGAGGATTTATAAGATGCCACAAATTAGCTTTAGATTTGAAGGCATATCGGACCTGACATGTATTAAAGACCTGGGGAGAACCCTGACTGTGATGGCCTTGCCAACCATCCATACCTAGAAGCAAGTGTCAAGAATGGTATAAACATTTGCAATAACATGTCGCTCATATATACGCTTTTATTAGAATTAATTTTATTCAAGTGTACTGTGTGGGAGGGCATTCGTAATTGGCACTACAATAGTGACATTTTGTTTAAGAAAAGGATCTACATATGAATTGATGTTAATTTTTATAACCTTTGGAAGTGCCAGCTATGGTTTCAATTAACAACTGCAATAACTACTGCACAACAAGAAAAGGTTATCCTTGGTAGTTATACAGTCTGACTCTGACATTATTTTATGGAAATACTGCTGATAATTTATGCATTGACTATTACCTAAATAAACAGAGCAAAATATATGTTGCACGTTAGCAGAAACATCCATGCAAAATAGCACAATCACATATATATTTACACGTTATTTTGAGATACACTCAGCTAGCAGGAACTTACAAGCCAAAACAAAACACACAGAGAACTTACAAAATTTATGCAAAACGTTGCCTTTGCGATTCTACTGACGATCTTCCTCGTCCGGAGCTCTGCCTCTTGGACGACAGCTTTTCCCTGCTGCGGGCTATTCTGAAGTACCGCCTTCTCTTCCTGACCTTCCTCTACAGTGAGTGGCATGGCACTTGAAGAGCCATTTTGCAGGGGTGGCGCGGTGGACGTGGGGCTTAGGTCGCTGCCGTGTGCCCCCTCCAGCATCGTAATGAACTCATCCTGCTGCTTATAGAAGTGCCTGGAGGTGGAGTGAAACGATCAAATGATGCTCGTACAGTGTCAGTGGCATATAATCAACAATAACAACAAGAGCAACAACTATGCCAGCAACAACAACGCATGATTGACACATCTAAAGTGCCACAACAACAACAACAACAACAACAATAACATTGCACAAATTATGTATGTACAGTACCGTAACAACAACCACAACAGCAACACATTTGGGGTGGAGGCCTAAGATGGGTTAAGGCAAAAACAATCATTGAGGTCCTCTGACGTCTGAACATGGTAAAACCTCACTCCATTCTCAACACCAATATTTATAATGCAGCAGTAAATTGATACATTTGCACAGGCAAATGCAGGCAGTTTTTTCAAACAAATACTAAAATCACCAGGGGCTTTATGCTTCCAAGGTGCAGACCAAAATCAAACAATTGTTGTTATTGACTACATTCCAATATTTTAATTAAATATAACAACTATAGAGCAACCAGTAAGTAGATTAGAGTAAAATATAATCAGTAATATAATGATACGGATAATAGTACTACATGTGGATAAAAAAAGGTTCTTTTACCCATGAGCAAGTATTACTATTTATATTATAACTAGGAAGGTACTCAGCATTACATGGGTGCAACAACAACAATAACAACAAAACATTTACAGCATTATCAGCAACGTCAAAAGCAGAAGTAGCAACAACAACAACAACAACAATTTTAGAATATGTTTAAGGTAGATATCCAGGTTGGTTTTAGCTACAAAAAATACGATGGCCGTCCTAATGATTAAAAAATGTATAGCCTAAATCCAATCTCAGCACCCATGGTTGTAATGTGGCAATAGTTCACGAGATGTGTGAGTCACACACAAACATACGAACGTACAGGCACGCACGCATGTACAAATGCACGCACACGGACACAGACATTTCGTTCACAAGTGGAATAAATGAAGCAATGAGTACATGTTCCCTTGAATTTTCACATGCAAGTGTTTGCCATTATTCTGTTCAAGAGTTCTATATGGCTAGAAAATTACGCACTTGTTGGTTTTCCATACTGTTAATAACTTCCTGCATGCAGCATCACTCTCTGTGGTTACAAGAACATGTGACTACCATTGGTTAAAATTACCCATCACACCTACTGCTAATCAAAGTCTAGCAACCAACGCTCTGTTAAGCCCTGGTCACAACGAGCCCACGACGCATTTGTGCAACGACACGACAGAAAATTTGGGCAAATCGTGGGTCATCGGGGGTCGTCGCAAGACAGTCCTACGAAATTTTGAGCATCGTGGCATCGACTTGCCGTCGTGAGGCAAAATTGAACATGCACCTTTTTTGTTGCACGATGTTTTGTGGTATCTATGTCTTCTGGTTGTCGTGAGTCTGTCCTCAGGGCCGGACTAAGAGTGTGGGGGGCCCGGGG